TATTATGCACTGCACTGAACCTATCCATATTAATGTCATTTTGTATACACAGAGTGTATACAAAACAAGATTACATGGTTTACAGCTTACAACAGTGAAATGGACATAACCATTTTAATGTGCAGCAGTGATCATCATGTAAACAGTATAGGAGAAAAGAAAACAGTTTAAAAAAATGGTGCAAAATGACATTAATATGGATAGGTTCAGTGCAGTGCATAATAAATATGGATAAAAAAAGGATTATGAAAGTTTCAGCCACGTTTTTTGATGAGGTTGATAATCATAACCACTTATTGTCCCAGAAATAAAAACCAAACAGAGCAAGCATTCTTTTTTTTTTCTGCAGAAAAGTGAGAGAGAGGACAGACCAAGTGCGAGACCCCTTGAAAAGTCTGTACTCAACTCTGCCCAAACCTCTCTTTTCTGCTGCTTTTATTATTGGACTTTAAAGGAATTACAGGAGTGGTCAAACATTACCAGGAGGGGTCTGATGAAGTTATCAGTCACCTATGGCTGCATAGCTGAATAATACCAAGCCCTGAGAGAAATATTTGCTCTCCTCATTTAGAACAATACTTAAAATTCCTTGGCCAAATGCTTGTAATGTGAAATAAAATGATAAGATACACATTTTTCTTAAATTTTTTATTTGAAATAATGTTGTTTGATGCAGAGTCCAGTATAGACTTCAACCGTTCAGTAGTCTAATGGCAGCGGGGAAAAAGCTGTTGCAGAACCTGCTGGAACTGCAGCAGATGCTGCAAAGCATCTTCTAAGAGGGCAGCAGGGAGAACAGTCCATGGTGAGGGTATAAGAGGTTTTATCCGATAATATTTATGCTCTGTTAATGCAAAGAGCGGGAGATTTTTCAAAAAGAGGATCTAGGTTAACAATTCTTATCTCATTTGTCTTCAGATTTGACAAATTAAATGTTACTCTTATAAAACAAACAGGTTCCCTTTGATGGCATTTCATGCAACATTTTTTTTCCCCCATATACTACTTTAATGTATCCAGCATCACATAATACCTATGACAACCTATGAGCCTGATGATTAAAATATAATTATTGTTTTTATGTAAATATATGTTTAACTAGCTAGTGTGACAGAAAATCCAATGGGGTTTAACTATTTTGATGCATGATTGCATTGAAAAAAATAGATTTTCACATCACAAATTGCAGGAAAATGTGAAATGCTTGTATGAGTGACGCAAACAGCAACTTTTAAACAGAGCGTGCGCGAGGAGAAATGGGCTCATGCATGCTGTCACACGCATTTAATAGGTGTTCCCTTTCAGGAGCGGGTACAGGGTTGTGAAATGTACTTCTTTTTAAGTGGAGAGGGTGGATCTTTTTAATAATTCGCGAAAATCCTCCACTATACTGTACCTTTAATATGTAAAAAAAAATTATGACGCAGGAATACTTTACAGATTGCGTTAAGGCTGCATAGTAGCTATTTATTGAGCCCAAAATGGATGAAAAATCAGTAAATTCCTCTTCAAAAAAACAGAAACAGGGCCATTTCTGATATGGCGTTTCTTTAGTTTAAAATTGGTAGTTTCTCAATGACCATTTCTCATCATTCAGGTCTTTATTTCTGGACTCCTAAGGGTTCTTTGCTTTTTTTCTTGGCTTTTTTGTACATTAGATTTTATTCACATGCATACACCCTCAAATAAACTTCCTCATTGGTCATTTTGTGTACCTATTGTGGCACTCTAACCAGTGAAAGAGTTAAACTGGTTTTCAGTGTTTAGGGAGCAGAGGGGACTCGAAAAGGTAAATGGAGATGGTATAGTATTTATAATCAGATTTATGAATTGCAGTTTTTAAATCTCTTTATTTAGAAATGGGATGTCAAAATACATTTTCAACTCCCAGTATTAAATAATATATTGATAAATAAAATTACTCTTGAAAATTCTATTGAAAATGTGCAATTAAAAATTGGATTTCTAATTATATGATTCTAATGTTAAATTTGAAATGGCTGCTTTTTCTTTTTTAACTGACTTTTCTGGTCCTCCATAGACACAGACTCTTATAAACAGGCACAGCAGTATAAAAGGAAAGGAAGATTATATTCTGCTGATTTACAGATTGAGTATTGTTTGAGGTGAATATATCAGAAACAGTATCAATAACCAAAGTAGTTTTGTCCATTTTTAAGTGATGCTTTAATATCTTTAAGTACCCTAACATGATATTTGATTTATTTTTTGTAGGGGAACTCCAGACCCCATACTTGTTGACCAAAGACCCCAAGTGGGGTCACGACCCCATCTCTGGGAATCAATGTACTAGATTAAGTAGAAGCTCCTGTTTTTTCCCTCTGTCTTTGTTCAGGAGCTTTTGAAACACTGTGTGGAGGACCAGTACCGCTGTGAGCTCCAGGAGGCACTTGACTCCATGTTGGAGCTGCTGAAGTCTGTCAATGACTCCATGCATCAGATAGCCATCACTGGATACCCGGTACCAGCAAACCCTTAATTAAATGTAGTGCATAGGATTTATTGTGTACTGTTGGCTTCTGCTTAAATCTTTTTTGCAAGCAAAAAGACACATATGAATGATGCTCTTCTTGATCTTAGGACGGTTCTACTTTGCGCTGCTGTCTTGGGTTTCAGGGGGATATTAGACAGCTGGGCCGCATTATACTCCAAGGGAGCTTCAGCGTGTGGATCAGCCACAAACGGGCAGCGGTGCGAATGAAGGAGCTGGCTAGATTTAAACCCATGCAGCGACATCTCTTCCTTTACGAGCACGCCCTGCTCTTCTGCAAGAGACGAGAAGAGGACAGCCATGACATCTTCTACAGCTTCAAATCCTGCCTCAGAGTAAAACACTTTCACTTGTTAATAATTGTGGATGCAGTAAGAAGATGTGAAAGGAGATGTTTATAGAAAAATCTCACTGATAATGTTATATGGTAATATAAAAAGATCCCTCTTGTTCTCTAGATGAGTGCGGTGGCGATCACAGAAACTGTGAAAGGAGATGTGAGGAAATTTGAAATCTGCTACAGTGGCAGAGAAGTTGTATACATAGTTCAGGTATTAGTTGTTTTTTTTGTCTTTCATTTTATATCCAGTTGAATATAATATCAGTGTAAAAGTTTGTGTATGTATTGTCTATCCAAGGCTCCTACCGTGGAGGTCAAAGTTGCCTGGCTGAACGAGATTCAAAAAATACTCGCCAACCCACAGAAGATATGTCAAGGTTTCTATCATTTCATTGATTCAGTTAAAGCGTCTTCTATTTTTTTTTTTTTTTTTTTAGGAAAATACATCTTTTTGGGTATTTTTTATCTACATGTAAAATATTGCAGAGCTATAGCTGTTTAGCTATCTTCAGTTTTCTTCTTTACTCCCATTTCAGTATGATTTATATATTCAGATTCACTTTGATTTAACTCAGACAATTTATCCTCATCTTTCCTCAGACGAGGCTTCTTCTCTGCCGCTCACAGACAACTTCCTCTCTGACAGGTGAACTGATTTGAATAACATATTTTGTAACTAAACAGTGACTTAGAAGTAATTGTATATATCATACCATATTATTTCACTACTGATATGACCCATTTGAATCATATAACAACATTGTCATGATGGGTTTTAAAGTTTGCCCCCATGCAGAAACAACTCAGAGGCAGGATAAAAGTTAAACAGTTTATTGAGAGGTATGGAAACTCAGACTAACAGAGGAACTCAGAGGGACAAAACAAAGGGGATTCTCAGCATGAAGAATATCCAGCGGTCAGGTGAACCAGAAACACTAGGGGGAGATCAGAGTGTTGAGTTCAAGGTTCATGGGAATTTCAGGCCAATACAAAAATAAAGCCAGAAAAGGACTCACAGAAGATGACTGGTGGTTGCTCCTTGGTTCCTGTTAGCGGGGACTGTACAGATAAGGAGATAGTTGGCTGGAGGGTGAACAGGCAGACTAGTAGTGGAGCAGAGGAGCAGCAGAGCGGACTGTAAACGAGCTTTCCAGAAGTGGACTGCAAACAGAAGCGTTGAATGTTTTCCTTTAATCTCAGAGAGACGAATGATTCCTTCCAAGGCTTGAAGGACCAGGCTTATCCAGTGGATCAGGAAGTAATCCTGCCGAAGACCACAAGAGAGACAAAAGGTTAGATCTGAGGACTCAGAGAGACGATAACTCAAAGTTAGACACTGCTAAGCTCCGAGAGGCTAGAGTACCCAACACTGGCAAACACTCTGGCGAAGAGGTGGTGACAGTCCGCTGCTCATATACTCCTCTGGTGATGACCTAACGAGCCACAGGTGTGGGTGGAAAACCGGAAGAGGCCCTCCAGGTCAATAGGGGAAAGGGCACCATCTAGTGGATGGATGGAGACCAAAAAGGAACACAAAAACATTCCCCACAAACAGAAACCCTAGCAAACATATTACTTCAGTGAATTTTAAGATTAAGATTGGAAGCACAAGTTTTTAATGTTAATTCTTCTCAATCATGTCTTTTTGTCATCTGTGAATTTCAGTCATAATTCTGCTTTGATATTTGACCACTCTACCGGGGAAATCCTTCAACAAAGTTAAAAAAGTTAGAAAATAAAACACCAGACCACTTTATTTTCCAAGTTTGAAGATGTTTCGCTTCCCATCCAGGAAGCTTTCTTAATTTAAATTGTCTGGACTGAGGTTTGAGTTCCGGGCTTATAGAGTGGCAAAAACAAAAGCCTTGTTAATGCCTGACTGACCAGGGGAGATGTTTGGTCCCCTGCATGGCGATGAGGTTTGAGGGGACCATGCAGGGGACCGAAACTTCTCGCCTGGTCAGCAGGTATAACAATGACCCTAATGACTCCCTTTTCAGAGGCATGGGCTAGTATCGGGTTTTTGCAGGCCAACCACGACCTCAATGACTCCCCATTACTAAAGGTTGGACCTGTTTTTTCAGTTCAATTTGCATGTTTTCTAAGCCATAACAAGGCTTTTGTTTGTGCCACTCTATAAGTCTGGAACTCAAACCCTACTCCAGCCGTTTTGAATTGAGAAAGCTTCCTGGATGGGAAGCAAAACTTCTTCAAACTTAGGAAAAAAAAGTCCAGTGTTTTGTTTTATAACTTTGTTGGAAAGACTATGACCCGGGATGACTTTTTAAAAGAATTTTTAAAGTTGGTTAATTCTAACACAGATTTTATGAAGAGAAATAAAGACACAGAGTCACCTGTAGTTCTTTACAGGGTGTTTTGTAGTTTTGTATGTGTTCAAACAACAATTGTTTGCATGCTTGCATGTTATGGGTTTGGGGAATGTGTGAGTCTTGTGTCACATGACAAAGAAACATAACTTGTGTCCTTTTATGGTACAGGAGCTTTTTTTTTTTTAAATATAGATACTTAAACATATTTCATAAAAACTAAAGATTAAACCCAACAAATGTACAGGATATTATAGTTTTATGTTTTACCAAAAGGGCTCCAGAAGTGATCATTTTCAAGCGATATATCAGTAAGCCATCCTGTGAAGACCTCTTAAGGCTTACAATGCAATGAAAGAAAACCCATGTAGATAAGAGTAAAACACTTTATTTATGCCAGGATCTTCCTACTATGAGACACCAATTGTGTGTGAAAGTTTTCGTTTTAAAGAGAAAACTAAAAGCAGTTTTACTAGATTTAATTCAATTCAATTTATTCAATAAAACAGCTAAAACTTTTGACACAGAGGGTTTTAAAGACAGGTATTTGGCACTGATAGATGAATTGTTTTTTATTCTAATTTTAAGTGTTGTATTTTATATTATAGCTTAATGCACATTTACATCTACATGTTCATACTGTATAGTCCGTTAGATTGGGTTTTATCTTGTGAGACTTTTTGATTCTTACATACAAATTGATTGGAGACTTTCAAAAAGTCTTTGTCCATACATCGTTTCTGCTTTTTGTAGCTGAAGGGTGAGCGCAAATGAAATTTTAGTGTTTCCTATTTCCTATGCGATGAATTCATTTTCTCTTTTTCACTGGTCTTAAATGGACCAATCTCCCCATCAGCTACTTAAAGCAAGTTAAACTACACTTTAGCTAAATTGTGTTTGCTGTTAAATAAATCCCTATTTTGATGTTGTTTTGAATATCATTTGAATGAAATAACAGCTCCATATATTTCAGTAAACTGAGACGACACAGTTAAAATCAGAAACTGAAATATATGTGATTGTGAATAGAGTGGAATGCTGAGTGTTAATGTGGATGAGGTTTGAGCTTGGTTTTGTGACACTGTGGACGTTTGTTTGCCTGTCCTGTTTGTGGTGCTTGTGTTTGTGTTTCTGTGGCCATGCCTTGTTATTTTTTTAGCACGTCAGAGATGTGTGTGTCGTGGGACGGCGCGTCGGTGGGAGGCTGCTCAGCGTGTCTTCCTGTTCCTCACAGTTCCTCTGCGACAAGCCACTCCCACACCTGCAGAGCGGAGGACTCCACACGTTCCAGCCCTGCCCATTCAGAGCCTGTGGTTCACTCACCTCGACGAAGTGAGTCACAGCAGTCTACTTTTTATTAATATCGCACAGATTTTAATTTTAACAACATGCTAATTATTTTGTAAATGAAGAAAAACTTTTTCTTTCTCAACATCTTAAACAATATAAAACAGGCTTCTGCAGTAAGATTATTTTATTAAGGGAAATTATTACTGAGAATAAAATCTTGTTATGTTATGTCAGTATGGAAGAGGATTAGGGCCACTGAAAAAAAAAGTAAAATGATTTTTGCATTTTATTTCAGTAGAATATGAGAAAAAAGTCTCAGAATTCTGACTTTATCTCAGAATTCTGACTTTTTTCTTTTACTATTTCATTAATGGAAGAGCAAAAGATGATTAAAAAAAGAAAGCTATTTTAGTCTTTAAAACAGACATGGCTACAGCTTGATGCTAACATTGTTAGTAGTCAGAATTCAGTCAGAATTCGGAGATTAAAGTCAGAATTCGGAGAATAAACTCCGAATTCTGAATTTTTTCTCATATTCTACTGAAATAAAATTTAAAAATCAGATAACTTTTTTGTATTTTTTCAGTGTCTCTAATCCTCTTCCGAATGTTATAGAGCAGAGGTCTTCAACCTTTTCCAGGCCAAGGACCCCCAAACTGATGCTGAGATGGAGCGGGGACCCCCTAATTATATATGTTATGAAATTGTGTTATATCAAACCAGTCCTATAGTCACTCTATTACAGATGGAGTAATGTAACGAAAGTAATTTGGCCCTTGGATTATTAAAGTATTTCTGATTCCTGGTTGATGGGACAGGTGTTGTGAATGAAACGGTGCCCAGCTTGAAAGAGCTCCTGTGTGTCGCTGAATGTGTGCGTTGATGACTGAAAGACATCTTCTGCCTCCATTTATCTGTTTACTACAGTGTGTTGAATTCATGTTAATATCTATTTAAAGACATTTCAATTAGTGGAAAAAGGTGCAGGGGGAATATATATTTTAAAAAAAAGTCTAATCAACCAAAACTTTTGCGACCCCCATGCAGTACCTCTATGGACCCCCTAGGGGTCGCGGACCCCCTGTTGAAGACCTCTGTTATAGAGAAACTTTACACTTTTTTCTGCTGCAAAAAATCGATTGTTTTAAAGGGCCTACCTCATGCAAAATCTAATTTCTAATGCTAATTCCTTCATCAAAACCGTAGAGAAAGTGGTATTTTGCTTTTTGATGCCTCAGACTAATCCTCAGTTTTGCGGTCTGCGCAGCAGCCCCTCCCTCACCTGTGTAAAACGTGCAATTAGAGGCTCCCTCCACAAAGCATCTATCTTAATCGGGCTGTGCCTGCAAAAAAAAGCCCACTTTCTTTGATCAGCGAGGCGTGATGTGAGGCAGAGCAAGAAGATTCAGGAAAAAGTTGCTCTTTGAGCAGCTAATCTGAACAGGGCAGCAGCCTCTCTATTTTAGTTTATGTCTCAGTCGTAAAAATGTGATTTTTGACGGTGGATGCTGTCAGACTTTCCCAGCTGTCAGAAGTTGTGTGATATTGAGATGTCATGAGATTGGTGGCACCAAAAAGAACAGGAGATTAGGTCAATAAAAGAGCACACGATTTTTCAATTCTGGGTCTTTATTTATTTGGATGAAATAAGCAAAAAAAAAATAAATAAAATAAAATAAAATAAAATTAATAATAGTTCTATTGAGTTTTTGAAAAAAAAAATCAATTGGATTTAGAAGGGGTCCTGGTGCTGATCAAGACAACGTATATATAGTATAAGTGCACAAAAGTATCATGCCTACTTGCAGCACATAAACAGTATCTAAAAGTTTTGTCTTTAAGAAATAAAAAAAAAAACCTTGCAAAGATCTGACACGGGACCTGATCAACAAGATAATCGATTTAACATTGTATGGGATGAAGTACAATTTACGAAGTTTGTTGTTTCTCTAGAGATGAGCTCAAAGGTGAGAACATCTTTGGGTTTTGTGTAAAAGTAGCTAAAGTATCTCATTCAAATTTATTTCAAGGGGCCTGTAGAAATGTAAAGAATGGAGACCTGTGAGAATATAAAAACAAACAATCTAAATATATCAGGACGGACTCAAAACTTTGGCTCATGGTTTTGTGTCACATTTTGTTTCTTGGAGGTTACAAAATATCCAGCATCATTGTAGAGAATTATGTGTACACTACGATTTAATATTTTTAGCTCCTTGTAGGAATCTAATTTTCCACTCTTGATATTATGGTTAATTTGCACTATTCATGCAAGTTCCTCTATTTAAAAAAATAAATAAATAGCATTTCTTTCCTATAGCCCCTGCACAGCCTTTTAACATCAAAGATCATTATAACTGATCTTTAACATTACAATGAAAGTAGATATTGTTTGTTTATTGTTTCTGGCTTAATTGTGCACCAGTGCAGTTTTCCATCTTTCTGCTCTGTCTGTCCTGCACAGGTTGGCCTGCTCCTGCTCACTCTGTGGCGATTTGTGAGGGTCTGGAGGACTGGGGAGCCACAGACCTCTCTGCCTTATCTGACTCAGATGAGGAGGATCAACCTGCCCCACTGGTAAAGTTGTCTTCCAGGACATGAAAAACAGACAATTGATGTGTTATTATGGATAAACATCATGATTTTTCTGCCCATGAATAGAAAACCACAAAGCTTCTTGTGGTCATTAACCTTTCTTTGGTGTAATGGTTAGAAGAGTCCAGACACTAATGACTCTTTTGAAAAGCTTTAAGAGAAAAACACATTTACTGTAGGGATTAATGCAAAATAAAAAGAAATAGTCTACTAGGATGAGGTTTTACTGACCTCATTGTCGGTCTACAGTAAGTGGTAAAATATAATGGTACTGTAAACTCTTTCTAATTAATGCAGCTGATAACAGCTTCATCACTGCAGGGCATGTAGAGACTATTGAACATTTAGCATAGATGGTCAGTTAATTACTTAAAGTAACGTCCTCACGGCCCAGATGATTGTGTTCTAGTTGCTGGTGGGATTTGCTAAATTATGTGTTGCTTATTACTATACAGACAAATTACATTGAAATTCTTACAAAATTTCTTCTTAATAAGTTGTATAACTATCAACATATACAACAAGTTATGATTTCACTGGAAAAAACGATCTAGAAATAAGTAAAAACTTCTTAGATTAAGTGTATTTACCCTTAATTTCAGTAGGTAAATAAGATGGAATGAGTATTTTTACTCTTAAAATAAGATAATTAGATAATATGCACTTGAAATAAGACAATGCAATTGTGTTTTCTTATTTTAAACGTAAATTGTCTTGTTCCATTGACAAAACGTCTTTTACCTCCTCAATCCAAGAACAAATGCACTTATTTTAGGAAAAAATGACTTGTCTAGATTTCGATTTTTTCCAGTGTTCCATTTGGGATCCGTAAAGTATTTTTGAATTGAATTTCAATATAATGTTATATCTAGAAGTTGTAAAGTGCTCTGTGTGCTAATGTTTAGCCATAAAGGCCATTAGCTGTTCTAATAAAAAAAAGGTTTCCAACTTTTACAATGCTCTTCTTATCCATGTTATATGCTTAATATTTGGTGCTTTACAAGAAGCACTTCATTTGTTCATGTTTAGATAAACATAAAGGATGTTATCTATGTGTTAAACAACAGAAATAATATCACAACAACTTACATTTAAAGTCTTAAAAAACTGAAGTTCCTGAAGGACCCT